AATTTGAAAAAAGGGTTTGCACTTGGGGCTAAGAATATGAAAGCACCATACATACTAGGGGAGGGGCAAGCTTAATAATGGCATGCAATGACAAGCTGCGGTTTCTAAAGCGAGCAAAATCCTCTCTTGTATTAAAAGAGATATAGACTCCACAGAGAGAGATATCATTTCCCCTGGTACAAATCATTAGTAAGACCTCACCTGGAATATGCAGTTCAGTTTTGGGCACCAATTCACAAAAAGAACATTGGGGAACTGGAGAAAGTACAGAGAAGGGCAACCAAACTGATAAGAGGCATGGAGGAGATCAGCTATGAGGAAAGATTAGAGGAACAAAATTTATTCTCTCTTGAGAAAAGGAGATTAAGGGGGGATATGATCTCCATGTATAAATACATCAGTGGTTCATATAGTGAACTCGGTGTAGAGTTTTTGCACCCTGAGGTCATCACAGAGAACAAGGGGGCACTCTTTACGTCTGGAGGAAAAGAAATTTAATCTCCAAACACGGAAAGGTTTCTTCACAGTGGGAGCTGTGAAAATGTGGAATAGACTTCCTCAAGAGTTGGTTCTGGCCAGTTCCATAGATTGCTTTAAAAAAAGGCCTGGATTCTTTCCTAGATACACAGAATACACAGAAACTGGATACTAACATTTAAAGTTGATCCAGTGAATATTCGATTGCTTCTTGGGGGATCAGGAAGGGACCTTTTCCCCTGCAGGAGCAAATTGGATCATGCTTTGCTGGTTTTTTGCCTTCCTCTGGATCAACTCTAGGCATAGGAATATAACTTTTTTTCTTTTTCAGCCAGACTAACTACAGTATCTCACAGAAGTGAATACACCCCTTACATTTTTGTAAATATTTTATTATATCTTTTCATGTGACAACACTGAAGAAATTACACTTTTCTACAATGTAAAGTAGTGAGTGTACAGCTTGTATAACAGTGTAAATTTGATATCCCCTCAAAATAACTCAAGACACAGCCATTAATGTCTAAACTGCCTGCAACAAAAGTGAGTACACCCCTAAGTGAAAATGTCCAAATTGGGCCCAATTAGACATTTTCCCTCTCCGATGTCATGTAACTCGTTAGTGTTACAAGGTCTCAGGTGTGAATGGGGGGCAGGTGTGTTAAATTTGGTGTTATCGCTCTCACTCTCTCATACTGGTCACTGGAAGTTCAACATGGCACCTCATGGCAAAGAACTCTCTGAGGATCTGAAAAAAAAGAATTTTTGCTCTACATAAAGATGGGCTAGGCTATAAGAAGATTGCCAAGACCCTGAAACTGAGCTGCACCATGGTGGCCAAGACCATACAGCGGTTTAATAGAACAAGTTCCACTCAGAACAGGCCTCGCTATGGTCGACCAAAGAAGTTGTGAGCATGTGCTCAGCATCATATCCAGAGGTTGTCTTTGGGAAATAGACATATGAGTGCTGCCAGCATTGCTGCAGAGGTTGAAGGGGTGGGTGGTCAGCCTGTCAGTGCTCAGACCATACGCCGCACACTGCATCAAATTGGTCTGCATGGCTGTCTTCCCAGAAGGAAGCCTCTTCTAAAGATGATGCACAAGAAAGCCTGCAAACAGTTTGTTGAAGGCAAGCATAGGCATAGATTACTGGAACCATGTCATGTGGTCTGATGAGACCAAGATAAACTGAAGTACAGAGTATGATCCCATCCCTTCGGAGACTGGGCCGCAGGGCAGTATTCCAACATGATAATGACCCCAAACACACCTCCAAGACAACCACTGCCTTGCTAAAGAAGCTGAGAGTAAAGGTGATGGACTGGCCAAGCATGTCTCCATATCTAAACCCTATAGAGCATCTGTGGAGTATCCTCAAACAGAAGGTGGAGGAGTGCAAGGTCTGCAACATCCACCAGCTCCGTGATGTCATCATGGAGGAGTGGAGGACGACTTCAGTGGCAACTTGTGAAGCTCTGGTGAACTCCACGCCCAAGAGCTGGAAAATAATGGTGGCCACACAAAATATTGACACTTTGGGCCCAATTTGGACATTGTCACTTAGCGGTGTACTCACTTTTGTTGCAAGCGATTTAGTCATTAATGGCTGTGTGTTGCGTTATTTTGAGGGGACAGCAAATTTACACTGTTATACAAGCTGCACACTCACTACTTTACATTGTAGCAAAGTGTCATTTCTTCAGTGTTGTCACATGAAAAGATAGAATATAATATTTACAAAATGAGGGGGGTGTGCTCACTTCTGTGAGATACTGCATGTAACTAGGCAAATCTGCCATAGAGACGCTTGACATGATTCAGTAAGTTTACGGTGAAGCAGCAATGAGTCTTTCAACGAGAGACGACGAGAGACCAGGAAGACCTTCAACAAGCTCAACTCCTGAAAATGTCAACACCATTCGGCATTTATGCATGATGATCATTGGAGAACAATCCACAACATTGCTACCACTGTCGGTGTGTCATACGGCACAGTCCAGGCAATCCTCACATGTGATTTGAACATGTGCGGTGTTGCTTCATCCCCAGGCTCCTGACCCAGGAGCAGAAGGAACACCACGTCAAAGTCTGCCAAGAACTCCATCAGCGCACCGTGGATGACCCATCCTTCATCGTGAAGATCATTACCATTGACGAAACTTCAGTGCTCCCTGTGACTGTATGTGCAGTTTTGTACTGCCATCTGCTGGCTTGTTACAAAACTAGTCTTGCAACTTCTTGAACCTTGTATAAACATATTGTTGAATATTGCTGTTTTTCTTCAAAGACTGTGTTCATTAGTGTTAGAATATAGCCATCTTCTGAAATTCGAATTTCCAAAAGAATAGCATAAAACAGAATAAAATATAAAAGAATAGAATAACAAATACACACGAAAATAGAATAGAACATAGAGGGATAAAATTGAATAGAAAAGAATAGAATAGAAAGGATATAGCCATCTTCCAAGATTCTAATTTGGAAAATAATAAAATAGAATAGAATGCAATAGAATAAATTATAAAATAATAAAAATAGAATAGAAAACAATAAAATACAATAAAAATAAAGGAATAGAATATAAAAAAAATAGAATAGAAAAAAAAAATAGAATAGAAAATAAAAGTATAAAAAAAAGAAAGGAACAGTGTGAAACAGGACAGACAAGAATAGAATAGAAAATAAAAACATAAAATAACATACAATAGAAAATAAAGTAATAGAAGGTTAAAAAACTAGAACATAAAAAAATAGGATAGAAAACAGAATAGAATAAAATAGAACAAATACAGCTGTCTTCCAAAATTCAAATTTTGAAAAAAAATAGAATAAAACAGATTAGAATACAAAAAATTGAGCAAAACAGAACAGAATAGATAATAAAAGAATAGAAAATAAAAAAAGAATAGAAAAAAAAGAATAGAGTAAACAGAAGAGAACAGAAAAGAATAGGGTAAAACAGAACAGAATAGAATAGAAAATAATAGAATAGAATATAAAATAAAATAGAGTAGAAAAGAACAGAATTTAAAGAAAAAATAAAATAGTGTGGAAAAAAAATAGAATAGAACATAAAAGAATAGAATAGAAAAGAATATAACAGAATATAAAAATAAAATAGAATAGAATAAAAGAGAAAAAATATGACTGTGTTCTGAAATTCGAATTTTGAAAACAGAACAGAATAGAGTAAAACAGAATAGAATAAAAAATAAAATCATTGAATAGACTAGAATAGAAAATAAAATAAAAGAATACAATAGAATAGAAAAGAGTAGAATAAAATAGGAAATAAAAGAATAGAATAGAAAAAAATAGAATAGATTAGAATAGAATAGACGAACATTGAAAGAACGTAACCATCTTCTGAAATTTGAATTTCAAATAGAATAGAACCAGTTATTCTTCACAATGATTTTGGATCGATTTGATATTTTCAATTCGAATTTGATTCAAAAACTTTGAATCCACTGGAAAAAATTTTAATCTGGTCAAAAACGAATAAACAAAACAAAAGTAAACAAAATGAATTTGGTTATGATTGTAACAAAACAAAATTAGAGATTTAACAAATCTATCTGAAACAAAACAAAATAAATTTTTTCATTCTGCACATGTCTAGTGTGGATGGAGAAATCCATTCATTTTTCTTCAAGCAGCTCACTGACTGATCGAAAAATATCGATCTATATATGGCTAGATAAAGAGTCACCCATCAATCTCCTGCAGTAGAACAAATAGTGATTTTTGTGCTAGGAGATTTTTTTCAGTCTCTGAAAGATTTTTGAAAGGCATGATTCAAATGTACCCCCAAACTTTCCTCTTCTCCTCTAGAGCATTCTTTATTCTTTTATTTTGCTCCCGTACGGAGAAAAACGCTTTTATTACTTGTCATCATTTGTAAAATTCCTGAAAGGAATAGCAGCTGATTTAGGAATCCCTTCCTGGCTTTGTTTACAGGTTTGAAGACCGGTGATCCAACACTGTAGTCTGTGCCCATAGGGACCAGTCATGAAGCCATCAATGTTGGGAACAGTTCTTCAAAAGTTCCTACGTGATCCAACACTGTAGTCTGTGCCCATAGGAACCAGTCATGAAGCCATCAATGGTCGGGAACCGTTCTTCAAAAGTTCCTACGTGATCCAACACTGTAGTTTGTGCCCACATAGACCAGTCATGAAGCCATCAATGTTCAGGAACCGTTCTTCAAAAGTTGCTACGTGATCCAACACTGTAGTCTGTGCCCACATGGACCAGTCATGAAGCCATCAATGTTCGGGAACCATTCTTCAAAAGTTCCTACGTGATCCAACATTGTAGTCTGTGCCCATAGGGACCAGTCATGAAGCCATCAATGTACAGGAACTGTTCTTCAAAAGTTGCTAGGTGATCAAACACTGTAGTCTGTGCCCATAGGGACCAGTCATGAAGCCATCAATGTATGGGAACTGTTCTTCAAATGTTGCTACGTGATCCAACACTGTAGTCTGTGCCCATAGGGACCAGTCATGAAGCCATCAATGTTCAGGAACCGTTCTTCAAAAGTTCCTACGTGATCCAACACTGTAGTCTGTGCCCACATGGACCAGTCATGAAGCCATCAATGTTCAGGAACCGTTCTTCAAAAGATGTTACGTGATCCAACACTGTAGTCTGTGCCCATAGGGACCAGTCATGAAGCCATCATGTTGCAGTCTTCTGGAACCTTAGAGGACAATCCAATAGACATCTAGTAGTAGGAAGTGTCCATGTCACCCATGCATCAAGGTTGGCATCCAAAAGGAGGATCCTCCCACTGTATTCCAGCAGATACAAGAGTCAGGACCTGATGAGCCAAGTGACTATGGATTCGAGAAAGTAAAAAAAAGGCGAACTAACATAGCAATTAATTAAAAGGGTCGGGGTTAATGCCCAGAGTTCCACTTTAACAGCCATCATTTCTGCATCCATTTTCAAGGTTTATCCAATAAACACGTCAAAGTTGTCTCACTTTTTGGGACATGCTTCTCATTTAGTGCAGCCACAAAGCATTTGTCATTCGTGTTCGGGAACCGTTCTTCAAAAGTTGCTCCGTATTTTTTACACTGAGTCAGCGCTGGATGCTGGCATTTATTAGCTTGTTTAGGAAAGCAGTTGGGAAGTTCTAAGTGGGATGCCTTTACAAGGAAAGATGAATGGGGACCCACTGAGATAATGTATGGAGATCAGATGGAGACCAGCAACTAGCATCAAACAGAATGAGGATGTAGATCATTGCTTTCTGTGATAACTTGTAATTGCTCTCAGACATCAGCCGTGACATAGTAGCTGTCGAAAATGTTACAGGAATTCTTCAAACATCTTTGATTACTGCTCCTCTATAATAATGTATAAGGAACCGACAAAGAGGTGGAGATTACATGGATGGATCAGACGACATCAAGAGTGTTGGCATTCATTTGTTGTATTTTCTGCATTATTCCATAAAGATACAAATACAGAGTCATTGTGAATAAATGACCCTAAAGGTGGGAGTATGGACAAAAAAGCAAAAATGACATTATTTATTTATGGTACTTATATAATGCTGTCAATTTACGCAGCGATTTACAGATATTGTACATTCACATCAGTCCCTAACTCTCAAGGGGCGCACAATCTAAGGTCCCGAACTCACATTCATACATACTAGGGCCAATTTAGACAGAAGCCAATTTACCTACCAGCATGTCTTTGGAGGGTGGGAGGAAACTGGAGTACCTGGAGGAAACCCACGCAGGCACAGGGAGAACATGCAAACTCCAGGCAGGTGATGCCGTGGTTGGGATTTTAAACCAATGACCCTGGTACTGCCAGGCGGAAATGCTAACCATTTAGCCACTGTGCTGCCCAACATATCCACTTCAGCTCCAGAAGGTTTTACCCCCTTCATGACCAGGCCATTTTTTGCTATTTAGCACTGCACCCAGGGGCGGACTGACCATTTGGAAACTCGGGCACTGCCCGAGGGCCCAGGGCCAGTAGGGGGCCCCATGAGATGCCCCTGGTACCTTTTTCATAGGCTTTTTTGAGTTTGGGCAAGGACACAGTGGCCCCATGATCCCCTATTGCCGGGGGGCCCATGAGTTGTCAGTCGGCCCCTGAAGTCTGCACTACTTTTTTTTTTTTTAAATCCAAACAACTTTTATTGTCAAGATAATAGAGAAAATGGAACAGTACTTACAGAATCCACAATGAAATTACTGCAACAGCAGGATTACACATAAATAGAACAACATGGATACGTAGATTCCGTAATAAACAGAATAACAGAAATGGAAATCAAACAAAACAGAGACCACAAGGATCCAAAACTTTCTTGACAATATCTTGCTTTTTCCTTTGTACATCTTATTCCTTCCTGTCCAGATGTAAACAGAAATGGGGGAAAGGAACAAAGCCCAAAACATGTCTTCAAACAATAAAAAAAAAACCACATCAACAACAAACTCTGGTTTACCTAAGACGTTTCATCAAAAAGAATGGGAGATGCATATGAACTCCCCCAGGGGGAGGAGTGGAGCCACACACCTGATATAAAATATCCCACCTGCAGAAGTTGGTCCACTAGTAATTGAGGAGGGGCGAGCCCAGGTGTATCCAGTCAACCCTGCCATACATGCTGGAACTTGTTGGTACATTTCTCCCATGGAAGTAAAGAATTAACATAATCTATCCATTGCTTACTAGTTGGAGGAGCCGATGATAATCAGTACCTTGCTATCAACTTCCTAGCCAGATATAAAAGTCTAGATACCATAATATACCCTCCTGGTTGGAACAGTTCTTAGTCCAGTGCCCCCAACAGACAAACTGCACTAGTTTAACTGGTAATTGTGCGCAAAATGAAATTAATATCATTTTTTTTTTCAAACACATAGAGCTTTCTTTTGGTGGTATTTGATAACCTCTGGGATTTTTATTTTTTTCTTATGTAAACAAAAAAGACTGAATATTTTGAAAAAAAAATATTATTACTTTATGCTGTAATAAATTTTTTTTTTTAATTCTTCATAAATTTAGGGCAAATGTATTCTTATACATGTCCTTGGTAAAAAAAAATCCTAATAACTGTGTATTGATTGGTTTGCATGAAAGTTATAGCATCTACAAATTTTTTTTTTTAAATAGTAATGGCGGTGATCAGCAACTTATGGTGGGACTGTCATCGTGTAGGGGGCAATCCAACACTGACACTGGGTGGGAACTGTTTAACTGCCAATGACATCACCAGTGACACTAATACAGTGATCAGTGATAATACTATACACTGTCAGTGTACTAATGACACTTGCTGGGAAAATGCTGGGAAAAGGGTTAACATCTCAGGTATGTAGGAAACAGGGGCCGACTGACCATTTGGAAACTCGGGCACTGCCCGAGGGCCCGGGGTCAGTAGGGGGCCCCATGAGATGCCCCTGGTAACTTTTTCATAGGCTTTTTTGAGTTTGGGCAAGGACACAGGGGCCCCATGATCCCTTATTGCCCGGGGGCCCCATGAGTTGTCAGTCCACCCCTGGTAGGAAATAAAAAGAGGGAGCATGGGCTTAGTGCATTACCTTTAAAAATGAGATTTATTTATAAATAGTAAAATACTCACAAGAGAAATAAAATGAAATGGAAAGCATGTCACAAAGGATGAAACATGGTCCAAAAACCCCTGAAGGTGGTCTTGTGGGGGACTGTAGACCTCTAGATAGCTAGTGGCTGACGCGTTTCAAGGTTGTACCTCTCCCTCAGAGCCAGTCAAAGAGGGCAGCAAGGCTTGCATTCCTTTCTTACACATGTGGGGATACTGACATTGTGAAGTCCATTGTCCAGCGCAGGAGCACATGCATTCTGTTGCTTTTTCTTCTTTCTTAACATCTCGGGTAATAAAGGGGTTAAATGTGTGCCTAACAAGTGTTAATATGTGTAATATGTGCTGCTTTTTGCTAAATACCTCTTTGCAGGGAGAAAAAACAGAAAGAGTGTTCCCTCTGTACAGAGCTCTGTGTTGATTATCAACACAGGGCTCTGGGTTGTGATTGGACGAATAGAAGGTCCCAGCCATGAATGATTGGTCGGGACCTGCTGACAATCTCCAGCTGCGTACACTTATATTTATGTTGCTCAACATTGCTGCAATAAGTTCAAACAAAAGTCAGGGCTTTTTGCAATCCAACCTAGGATATACATTTATTCAATATAATAAAGACTGATTTCACTCACAAAAGGTTGTCAGAAGGAGCTTTTATAAAAGACCCAAAACAATCTGGAAGAGCCTCAGAGTGGGGCTACATGCCAAATAGTCCAGTTGCATACGTTTTAGACAGAGCACCACACAGGTGTACAGAAGTCCATAGCCATTTACTGATAAAATAGATCCTAGCAGAATAAATCCAACATGTTTTGAGGACCAAATACATTCCTCCTTTATCAGGGCTACAAAATGACTACAAACACAATGTCATCAATCTAAAAGTACAAAATAATGAATAGAAAAGTCATCCCAAGAGATTCAGGGAAACGTGGGCTTGCTGGAGGCACTTTAAAACCACCCCGACTTGCCACCTACTGGTGCAGCAATGATTGATTAGACATATTCTGACACTGGGGAATAACCTCTTTTCTGAGATACCTCTTGATATATGACTAGACGTACCTTAGTCTTCCACCAAGGCTTACTCTCCTAGAACTTTCACCCGCAATGTACCCGGTTGACTGTTTTCATACACACCACGTCTTAAGCTATAAGTTGATATTTCTAATGTGGCTCATTTAACATGTAGAGAACCATCTATGCGCGAGCATACACTCCTCTTCACCGTTTTACTTCACCTTAAGCCCTCCCAACCCACACCCCCCCTTTTTTTTATCTCTTTCTTCCCTTTTCCTTTCTTTTCTATATACTTACCTTTACCACTACACTATACTACATACCCTTTACTAACTAACCTTCCCTCTACCTGATCTCTAGCTCACACCTATATTCTACTCCTATCATCGTTTTCGTATCATAACTGATACAGAACACACTGCCCTTTAAACAGACGTGCTACGCCCCATATAACTCACACATCCAACTCATGGACACACAAAACGGAACTAAAGCTGTATCTTGTGCTGTTCGTATTCAATATTACTCACTTTATACTCCCTTGATAGAAATCCTGCTCAAAGGTCAGAAGACAATATATCTCTCGGCTCATTTCCTATACTCTGTACATTTCCTGGATTGTGCTATTATGGTGACACAATGTCTTACACCGTTATGTTTTGTATTGCCTATGATGCTTTGACCCGTCTGCGAAACGGGAAGCGACATGCAGTGATATGTCCAACTTTGGATTCACATCTGTATATGCATTGTTATGCCTGCTTTCTTCTAATAAAATCTTTTTGGGAAAAAAAAAAAAGAAAAGACAAATAGTATGTACAAAGTTGCATATAACTGCATAATATATGCAGATGGGTACAGTATATACCCTTTGAGTTTTAGGCTCCATGTACCCGGTGCTGGTGCTGGAAATTGACAGCAGGAAAACGCAGGTTAAAAAAAACTGCAGTTTTGCCTCATTTGCATACCGCATTTATGCACATTCAGCCACGATTATGAGCGGTTACGCTCAGAAGCATTTTTTAAAGATAAGCACAGGAGAACCTCCCAAATGCCCAGAATGCACTGGAAAATGGTAAACTATTAACTATTTCAGACTGTTTGAGAGAAATAGAGAGAGTAAAAGCAGAGAGAGCAGTATTTGTTGAGATTAGCTGTCTTTTTATTTTTTTGTGGTGTTTGGATGTGTTCCAGCTCATTTCTGTGCAGAAAGTAGTGCAGCAGTGTCTAACATATTTTATTTCATGCAAAACCTCAAAGTATGGTATGCTAGGTCCATTTGAGTAGTGGGAAAAACGCTTTCCAAGCATTTTTCATGATGAAATAAGGCTCTGGACAGAATCTGGAAATGGAAGAGTTAAAAAAAATTTCCAAACGCAAACACTTATAAACGCGGTTAGTCACGTTTACACACGTTTACAAGCATTTGGCGTTTGAAACACTGATAAAATCTACTCCTGAATGCAAGTTTGGTGCGTGCAAAAAAAACGACTGAAACTCAACTGCCTGTAAACGACATAGTGTACATGGACACATAGGAAAACATTAGGGACAGTTCAGGGGCTGCTGAAAATAACACAGAAAAGCTCCTAAATGTGAGTTTATCAGCTGCAGTGTACATGGAGCCTTATATTAATTATTTATTACTTACATATTTATTTTTATATTCATGACCTTTGTTTTTGTACTTGTTTTGTAGCCGTGATGAAGGGGCAGTGTGTTTGGTCCCCAACATTTCTTGGATTTATTCTGCTGGGAATACATTTTATCATTGACGTACCTTGGACTCTTGGATGTTTTTGTGAGGAGCTTTCATTGGATGGTATGTATGTGGATTTTCTGTTCCTGAAGGTTCTCTGTTTTCTGGAGTGCCCCCAAACTGGAGCCAGTGTGCCCAGTGACAATGTCAGTGACCCTTAGAAAATCTGAATACAGTGTCTTGTTTGTTCTTGTGTTTTGTTTAAATAGTCCAGTTGCAACAGTGGAAAGTCTTGCTTCAAGAAGGTAAAAGGGTGATGACTCAGCTTGGCTCTCAAAGCAGCAGAGTTGTCACTCTGTTATCTCGAAGAAGGACATTCTCTATTCATTCTGCTATAGCAACTGGATTGTTTGACATCTGGCCCCTTCTGGCCATAGGTTGAAGGCTTTTTGACTTGTGTTGTGGCCTGTTACAAGCACTTCTTCAGACAACCCTGGTCAGTGCAAAATGATTTTATTATAACAAATACATTTTATCCTTTTATTGCACTAGGTTGGGCTCTCTATTCTTTTTTTGAGTACTTTGTAGTATGCTGATTATTCCTGTTGGTGCAAGAAGAGCTGCAAACATTTACATACGGTATCTGGCCTGTACATTACCCATTTGATTGCTGCAGAGTCTACACGGCGTGGACCAAACTGACAATAAGAATTATTTCTTAGTGTTGTTATACTTATAATACCTATATATACTGCAGTGAACATTTTTCTTTCTCTTTATGAGACTAAAAGTCTCTAAAGAAGCTACTGTAACCTCAGCCGAATTGAGCATTGCTCTCCAGGGTAAAGCGTGGCGGAGTATGGCGGACACTGATGGAACCAAGGTCTGTTCAAGCAAAAACAAGAAAGAAAATGTTTTACAGAGACCTCATTACCTCATAGCACGTGTTTCAAGATATGATGTGGTATTTCAGGTAATAAATTCTGGTGGGACTCCATGCTAGAACAGGCCACATTACCCCTCGCTGAGATTGATGAAAAAAGCCCTGTGAATTTTCCATGGCTGGCTAATGCTCAGTTGGGTCACAGAGCTTATATAAAACATTTAATGCTTTATAAATGACCCTGTAAAGGATCTTTGATATTTTTCTTGGCTTCTGTTGAGTTCTTTGCTCAGGGAATGATGTAAACTTCTTCAGTCATGTAAATGTTTTCCGTAAGAATATGTCTTACGTTACGGTTGAAAGCGAACATTGGGCTGTTGCAAAAATTAGACATAGTTATTTAAATATTGTCAACATATTTGTGCCCTACAGAGAACATTGGACCTTCTTTCATTTGTCACTAGGACAGTGGTGTCTACAATTTAGTGTACCTACCACAACCATTTGCAGTCTGGGTCCAATTTATGTTGAAGTCAATTAATCTACACATGTGTTTTTGAGTTTAGAAGACATCTGGAAGAAAACCTATTGTATGCAAACACAAGAAAAGCATACAGACTACATGCAGACACTGAACTATGTGTCCTATTACATACAGAACCAAGGAGAGCAGAACTGAAAAGCAACAGTGCAAACCACTAAGCTTTCAAGATTTTTGGACAGTGCTGCGAAGATTTCAAAGCTGGCTATAATGACAAGTAAGGGTTGGTGGTAAATTAACAGTTAAAAGCAACCTTTTTTTAACATATGAAATTTTGTAATTTTCTATAGATAGATAGATACAGTAGATAAAACGAAGCAGCATTGTGCATAAAGGTAGGATACATGATCAAACCATAGGCCATAGGCTACAAGTGCATTCATTGACAGATACAATGCCTACAAAGAGTATACCATCACATATCAAATACAATAAATTGGCATGTAAAGAACGCACACACCGCACTATGTGCACTATGTGCATCATGAAAAATGCCCAACTCAATATTGGTGAGTCACACATTTTATACATTCAAAGATGAAAGGAGAAAAACATACCAAACTCTTTTTTATGTATATCTCCCACCCACTTCTGTAAACA